GGAAAGCTCTCGAGGTCAGCTATAAGAATATGTAATAAAATTAGGGGATGCCATTTAAAACAAATTGGTGTGACCTTTATGTGACCTTCAAACGACTATTCAAGGTCAAACCAATGGTACCATCTTATGTCCCCCTCGAAACCATACAACTTTTGTCTGAAACATTTTTGTCTGCTGGACTCAGTTTTCGAGATATTTTACTGTCCAAGTTAAAATGGGATACCCTGTATAATTTTTAAAAATTCATAAAGTCACAGTTTAAAGTATTGTCATTGTGAATAAGATTTGATTTTGAAGAAAATATAAAGCTTGAAAGAGATTAAGTCAATATGCCTCACTTTCCGTCGTAAATAATCAAAGCAATTTTTTAATAATAAACGCGCAAGCAAATTGTTTTTAAATTTTGCAGAAACATTTAGAAATTTTTGAAGAACATGATACAAAGAATTTAATTTTTAGTATTAGCTTTTGACAGTTTAAAGAACAACCGCAGAAAGGGTGCAAAAAGATGAAAAATTCGTAATCAGCAACTCGAAAGACGCTTAGACAACTATTTTTGGAGAAATTTACAAGCATTATTGCATTTATTCAGTTCTAGCTTTGTCCATTGTCTGTAGATAACGTTTTCAGATTGCTAAAGGTAAGCCACCTATAGTAGGCTATGTTCCATTTGGTCCTGCACCTTGGCTCAAAGATTACATTGGTGGGCCAAGTTACCCGACAGTTCGACCCTACACACACGCTGCCATCGCGAAGCCCGAAGGATTGTTGCTGAGAACATGGAACGTGGTATATTTCATTATAGATAATCTAGTACGAAAGTACTATTTCTTGCCTATTACTCAACAACTTGCTGAGGAATACATAGGCCACGCAATCAGGCCATTACGTGAGATAGAGAAAGACAGTATTAATATTGTACTAATTAATACTCATCCTGCATTTGAATCTGCGATCCCACTGCCGCCCAACACCCTGGAGATTGCAGGTCTGAATGCTCAAGACGTGCAACCAATTGCCGGCGAGGTAGTCGTAACGTATCCTGAGGTAAGGGAAATTTACCTCTTATACTTGAGAAACAGAATTTGACAAGAAAGAATATTAGCAAAAAATATATGGTGTATACTGAAATGAAATTTTAACTAAACCTTGGTTAAATATTATATTTTTATTCGAAGACTTTTGAGCTAGGACTTATGATTCCTTCTTGTGTTGCACAGATTTTTCTGTTCTTTAAGATACAACAAATACTGTTCTAGTAGCGAGATTTTATAAGTAAATATTTAGAGCAGGAAAAACCTTTAATTTTTTTAAAATAAGTTTTTTGTATAATTCCAAATTTATACGAGTTTTCGCATGACCTTATTTCTCAAACAATATGAATATGTATGTAGAATATGTATGTACTGAAAGACGGTGTAAATGCAGGGTGTTCCAAGAGGAAAGGTCAATATTCTGGGAAGTGATAGTAAGACAGTCGTTTGAAGCCAAAATGTTCATATGAATATATGTCTCATTCCCCGCTGTTTCCGAGTTTGACATAATATAATATTTATCAATTAATTAATTATTAGTTAATTTCTATAATAATCAGTGAGTTGCAAGCAAAAGACAAACATTGCGCGGCATATTAGTAAATAGATAAAAACATTTTTGCAATAATATTATATTTATAACAATGGCATATAGAAAGAATGTTGGACGAATCTTAATATTTGAATATATTTATATAGTAATACAATTATGCGCTATAGATAGAATCCGCTTGAAAATGTATTGGTTACGGTAATATTTTGGCATTAAGATACATATCTTTGTATATTATCGAAATCCAACAATTCATCATTATTTTGCAGGATGTGCGGGCATTTCTTGACGGAGCAACCGATGGAGCCATTATAATATCTTTGGGAACGAACGTGAAATGGAAAACTTTTGGGCTGGACAAGATTAAAACCGTTTTACTGGCTCTGTCGAAACTGAAGCAACGAGTACTGTGGAAGCTAGATATTGAAGTGCCATTTGAAATACCAAACAATGTAATGCTGGTGAAATGGTTGCTGCAAAACGAAGTTTTATGTACGTGCCCCAATTTCTAGGAAAATACGAGAAACGTTTCTAACAAGAAGACGATATGAGACTCAATATACATATACATATATGAATATTTATTTTTTTGTAACAAGAAGACAATTTCAGTTTTAAATTATTTTATTTATATTATATTTTATAATAAGACATCAGTTTTTACCAATAAGAAAAAAATTCGGTTTAGTTTGAAAATAATGTACGTACAGACGACACAAAGCTATTGATTAAAAAGTGTATCACATTAATTTAATCGGTAATTTAATATACTAATATAATATTTGTATCAATATGAGATTTTCAAAATTTATTGTAATATATTTTTATATAATAATTAGCTCATAAAAATGTAAAAGCAATCTGGACGCATGGTGGTCTTCTAAGCACGCAAGAAACCATTTGGAAGGGTATACCAATGATTGTAATGCCTTTCTTTATGGATCAAAAGTCCAATTCGGAAATATTAGTGTCTAAAGGCGTGGCCATACGCTTAAGCTATAGTACTTTATCTGTGCAGTCCATACTACACGCAGTTGAAGAAGTACTTCATAATAAAAGGTATATTTTAATCATGTTTCAACATCATTATTATTATATTTAAGCAGTAAATTAACAATATTGTCGCATTTCAAATAGCATCTAAACTTCAATGTTTAATATACAGGGTGAGTCACAACATTTCTGCCAGAGCTCGTGAGAAGGTAGAACGGATCGAGATAAACAGAAAAATCCTGTACCACATTTGCAATTTTCGCAATAGTTAATGAGTAATTAATTATCAAAAATCGTCGTCTTTGCCCTGCCCACTGTCCAATTCGAGCGCGTGGCGAGATGTGACCGCCCGGCGATCGATATTGTCAGGCGAGGGGGGGGGACAGCGCGCCGTTGCCGGCGAGCTTACGTCGCCACTCCCGCATCTCGCGTCCCCACCCCTCGCCTGGCAATATCGATCTCCGTGCGGTCACATCTCGCCACGCGCTCGAATTGGACAGTGGGCAGGG